TCCGTTGACGTTGCTTGAACACCACAAAATGCTGCGCTGGCGCACAAGGGCGCAGCCCCTAAAAGTTTAGGATTTAGGGTTAGGGTAGGCTATAAGGGTTTAGGGTTCCAAGGTTTCGCCTGGTTCTAGGGTTTGGGTCTGGGGTTCTACGGTTTAGGGTTGCGGTTCAAGGAACTCACATAAAGTTACTAAGGAAAGCTGTAATGCAGCAATCGCTTCCTTTCTATGGCAACTTGAACTATGTTATTAACAAGAAGCCTGCCCAACCCTATAAACGCCTACTTCAACCCTGCTGCTAACTCGACAGAACCCCGAACTCCTAAGCTAGCCCCAAACCCTAGAACCCTGTGTAATAAGTTAACCCTTAGACCTGTAAACCCCAAACCCTCAGAACTCCCATTCCCCCGGAGCCCTACAGCTTAACAAGAATCCCCTAAACCCTAAACCCTAAACCCTGGAGCCCTAAAGTTTCACGAGAATCACAGTCCTACTACTGTTGACTACCTGAAGGACCCTCAGCTACAGTATGGTACTTAATTACCTAGTATATTCCCTATTATGGGCAATGCAGGATATATATCATCAACCCCTACACCCCCAATCTAAACCTACACCCTGAACCCTTAAACCTAAACCCAAAACCGCAAAGCCCTAAACCCGTAAACCCCAAACCTAAACCCTAAACCCGGAACCCTTAAACCTAAACCCCTGAACCCCGAAACCCCTAACCCAGAACCCCAAAAGCTTGGCTGACTTCTGAACCCCTCCTAAAAGTTAAGCTTTTCGCATCCTTAATATAGTTCATATAGAAACCCAAAAAGTTAAAGTCCTAAGAGCCAACCAGAACCTAAACCCTAAACCCTAAACCCTAAGGTTTTAAGCTTCTTCGAAGGCAGCCTTGGCTCTTCAGCTCCACCGACTCTTCCGACGAGCTCCTTGAAACACCTGGGGTAGTTCTCTAAATTTGGGTTTAGGGTTTAGGGTTTAGGGTTTAGGTTTTAAGGTTTAGGGTTTTTAGGTCCTCAATATAGTACCACACCCTTACAAAGAGGACCCTAAAAGGGATCCTAATTTAGAAAACTACCCACCTAAGCTCTTTGGAGTAGGGTTTAGGGTTTAGGGTCTTCAGGGTTTGGGTTTAGGTAAGTGGAGGTACTCTCTTTAGGGTCTATAGGGTTTTGGATTTAGGTAAGTTGAGGTACTCCTTCGGGCTTATAGGGTTTGGGTAACTTGAGTAAACTCTTTAGGGTTTAGGGTTTAGGTGAGTTGAGGTACTCTGTAGGGTTTAGGGCTTGGTTTAGGTAAGTTGAAGTACTCTTTAGGGTTTTTCCTCCTGTTTAGGGTTTTGGGGTTTGGGATTTTGTCTTTAGGGATGTCAGAATAGGAACCCAGCAACACAGAAGTAAACAGGTGTACCACAACCCCTACACCCTTTGATCACCCTGGCACCCTTAACTCTCAGCCCTACCCTAAGGCTCTTATTGCTGTTATGGCCTTTCTAGGCGAAGGTTCGGGCTTTGGGGGGCTAAGGTTTGGGCTTTCACTATGGGGGTCCATGAGCCTTAGGGTAAGCCCGAACAACCCTAAACCTCTCAACCCTAAACCCCTAAACCCTAAACCCAAAGCTCTAAACCGAAAAATGTCAACCCAGACACGTCTGCGCATTGGAGCTGCCGAAGGGGAGCTTCTGTCACGAGCGGTCTGCAGATGTGGGCTCCTTAAGATGTAGGGTTTGTAGGTTCAGGGTTTAGGGTTTAGGGTTCAGGGTTAGTAGGTTCAGGGTTTAGGGTTTAGGGTTCAGGGTTTAGGGTTAGTAGGTTCAGGGCTTTGGGTTTAGGGTCTAGGGTTAGTAGGTTCAGGGCTTTGGGTTTAGGGTTTAGGGTTAGTAAGTTCAGGGTTTAGGGCTCTACCCAGCCCTCAGGAGCTACTGTAGCAAACCCTAACGGTCCATGTACCCAAATAGTATATACTTTGGCCTTAAAGTAGTGCCCTAAATAGGCGTGGACGCTTCGGGAAATTTCTCAGGGTTACTCTACACTATGAGGGCTTGGGGTTTAGGGTTTAGGGGCACGATCTATGAGGGTTTAGGGTTTAGGGTTTAGGGGCACGATCTGTGAGGGTTTAGGGGTTTAGGCATTCCTTTATAGAACTATTGCTACCCGTAAACCTTAACCGATCCACCTGGGCTTGGAGGATTTCGGCATGCAAGGGATTAGGGATTTGGCGTATCTGCTGCTGAGGTCTTAGGGGTAAAGATGAACGTTGTGACATCTTAAGATTAAGAATGCACCATACGAAATAACGTTTCTGGTCAAACATAATTTCCGCTGTTTCTTGAGAGTATACTACACTTCAAGTCGAAAAACATCCTCAAGAGCCGCCGAGAGGCTGCAAGATACTCTCCGACTCGTCTGACGAGCTATCTGGAACTCGTCGTGGCGCCGATTCCGGCACTAGCGGTCGAAGGAATCTTGGCAAAGGGACATCCGCAGCTCCGGGGACCCTAATCTCACCGCCCATGTACATGGGGCGAGGGCCGCCGATCCATTCAAAAACGCCTAACTTCTGTAGGCAACCTGGCGGAAGGGACCATAATCTAGATGCTGCTACATACCATACTCGGATATGTATGAGAGACCTCCAAGAAAGGACACATCGCTTCACTGAACCATGTTGCTTTAGCTGCTCACTCCTCCCGGGGCATGCTGAGAAAACGGAGGCACGCACAAGGTCGCGGCAAAGACAGCAAAACCCTAAGGGTCCTTGCTCATTTCTGGGGACCCTAAACCCTCAACCCGCGGACGATAAAGTGGAAAACCCGAAACGAGCTTGGTCTCGAGCTTGCTGCCCTAAGGCACCATCTGCAGTTTAGCTAGCTCTTTCTGGCCCCATATAAACAAATACGTATGTATACACAAGTCTATACATATATATATATATAGAGAGAGAGAGAGAGACATGTTTCCAATATATATATATATAATATGTGTGTGTGTGTGTGTTTATGTTCATTTGTGTTTCTGCCTCTTCTTTTCTACAAATACATCAAAGCTCACCAGCCAAAACAGAAGCAGCACACATACATAGGTACATCCCCACATATGTACATGCATACATACATACTTACATACATACATACAAACAAACATACATACATACATACATACATACATACATACATACACACACGTGCATACACATACATAAACATACACACATACACGCACACACACATACATACATACATACATACATACA